TGTAATCAACGAATTACTTAATACGAGTGGGCTTTTGAGTACAACATCCTTCAGTTTTTATATTTTCTTTTACCCTCGAGATAATATCCACATCCTTAATATCCAAAGCGTGTGTTGGGCTTTCAGATCTACGGGATTAAACCTCAACAAGATGGATGAAAGACTAATTCAAAGGGAAAAGGTGTTTTTCTTTTCGTAAGTGTGCCCGCAGAGAGATAGAATGCTCTCTTCTTATATACGTAGTTATCGCATAAAGGATTAGCAGGGGAGTCTTGAAACGGAAATCAAATAATGCTCATTAAAACCTGAGTGTTGAATGAATGAAAAAAATCAGGTCCATATTAAGGTTCTCATCAATAGCATTAAGGATAATCATTTTGAATTTGAATTCAACTTAATAATCTGATCAACTTAATTACATCACTTATAATCCGCCCGGTGAGACACACATATAAGTGAAAATTAAAATGTCACATCACCTTATATGATACTTGAACAATGTTCCTTATCACATAATGATTATAAATAACCATGTGGGACTGTTTATCCTCTATTATAGAACAAATAAATTCATTCTTTTAATGCATCACTTTACAATCTTTACAACTATGGATTCTAACTTAAAATTTAAATCCAAATATGTAAGTTGTTCATTTGATGTATTATCAGCCACTACTCTATATTTAATGCAATTATATCTTAGGGCATGAAATTTTGACCCTCAAAATAATATTTATATCATTATATTTTCAACAGTTTGCCCCAAACATTTATCAAATTTTATTAAATATGAGAAGATGGGCCATAATACGAAACGTATTCCACCTTCCCATTCTTCTAAGATTTTTGCAAAAAAATAAAAGACTATTGTGTAGTGGTCAAGTACGACGAGAAAGAAGGGAAAGTGAGCTAGACAACAACATGCATGTACGATGAGTCACAATGTTTAGGGAGTGCTTTCAAATGTTTTTACTTTAAAAAAACACTTTTTGAAGTTATTTGAGGAAAACTAATTAATAGTAAAAGTTGATAGTGTTTGAGAGAAAAATGATTTGAAAAGTAAAAGTTGATAGTGTTTGGTATAATATGTGTGTATTTTGTGTAATAAAAAAGTAAAAAGCAGTTTTCAGCAAAAAGTCGAGAAGCGCATTTTTAAGTAGAAGATATCTTTATATATATAAAAATGGATTTGGCTGGCACAATAACTGTTCCCGCCTGATTCCATTTTGGTCAATAGCTGATGCATCAAGTGCACACACATGATTAAATATAGGCTAAATAATAAGTAAATAAAATGAAATGTTAAGCAATTTTAACATATTGAGACACGTAATAAATAGTTAAAACAACATGGCAGTCTAGCACAATCCACATCGCAGATTCTATCACACCATAGGAAACCACCCACCCACGTTCACCACATCCCCGTCTGCAAAAACTGTCATCTACTCTTTAAAATACTCCGTACCTGCTTCATCAAAACATATAATCACAGTGAGAATTTTAGAAGCTGTCAAACCCATTGCCAAATTAGATTATTTTTAACCTATTCGTGAATTAGCGCGCTCTTTTGATAATTCTGTTACAGTATCTCTTAACAATGTTGTTCTACAAACTTCGAGAGCTTAACAAGTCTAGGAAAAATTGGGCCTCGAGGCTTCAACAGTTCACCTCATTCACACTTGTGTTGTCCCAGCCTACACCAACAAGAATGTGAGAGACACATTCGAGGTACACAATTATAATCGCATGTTAATTATTTTCTTACACTAGAACATTAAATGACTTTTTTTAAGGGAGACGGGGTTGAAATAGGTGTACAATATTCGTGTTAAGATTGAGAAAGTCTGAAGTTAGATTGGAGGCAGTGTCAAAGAACATTGTTTTGTGTTTTATGCTTTCCTTAAGTTGGTGTTTACAAACATAGTAGAAGTTGTTTCTAAAGTTAATTTCTTAAAATTTGCGTTTGTTGTTAAGATTGAGAAATTTTGAAGTTAGATTGGAGGCAGTGTCAAAGAACAGTGTTTTCTGCTTCATGTTATCCTTAAGTTTGTGTTTACAAACATAGCAGAAGTTATTCCTAAAGTTAATATCTTAAAACTTGTGATTGTTAATTTCCCGAAGTTTGTGTTCACAACACAATGTATGTTGCTTATGAAGTTACCTTACCTAGGTTTGTGTTTGCAAACATAATATATGATAGTATGTTGTTACTATAGGTTACATTCCTTAAATACATTGTGTTGTAAATAGCGAGCATACTAATTAGCTTTATGATGTAATGGAAGTTAACTTTATTAATGGTGAAGATGTTAGCAGAATCATCTCAAGATGCTAGGAGTAATTTACTTCAAAAAAGACTCATATAGATGATAACGAACATTCAAAACTTTTTTTAAAATTTTTAGATTTAGAACAATAAGATAAGTAATCTCCCCATATTTAGTAGAACATTAGGACTATAGGAGGTTCAAAAAACAATGAGAACCATTTTTAGTAAATATTAGATTCATAGCAAGAAAACTAATTGCACATGATGGAAGTTTAGTTTATCTTTAACTCTTTAAGGCACTAGAACTAAGAATGGATAATGAGAATGAGAACTAGAATGAGTGCTATTAATAAATACATATACCCAGCACTTCACAAAATTTTAGAATGACAGTAAACAGTTATAACAAACAACGTTTTAATTTTAAGAATATGTATCCATTACTTCTATGGAGGATTGTAAGCTTTAGGTCTAAATAAAAACAAATTATATTATACATCTTGAATACGTTGTTTTGTAGTGAAATAGGTGTTAGTTGTTACCGAGACATGCATGATGAATATGGGATAGTCTATAAACAAGTGCTCAACCCATGAAGGTGTGAGATAAAGATATTCAAAAAAATTCAAAATCAATCAGAAAAGATTTAAGAAACACATAACTTAGGAAATATAACTCATCAAAAGTAAAAATAAAAAATACGTAGTATAAATCATCAAAAAAATTGATTATATCCATACGAGTAGAAAAATACCATAATCAAATTAATATTTTGATAAAAGCCATCAAACTTGCATCAAGTTCGCAGATTCACAGAACAAGTCAAAGACATAACCGAGCTTCGTAGTTAAGCAATTAGAATAGAATAGAATATTGGATTTGAAGTTTGAAAGAGTACACATGAATCACGAAAAAATAGATGGTTCGTCGTATTTACAAATAAAAACTGGAATGACGTATGAGTTGTAGACAATTGTTATCGGTAGACAATAACAAAAACTATTTACCTAATTTGAAATGAGCATAGATTCAAGGACATGCAGAGCTTATTGGATCTGCAACACCTAAAATTAACAATAAAAAAAACAAAATAAAAAATAAGAATGAATAAATCATCATAAATTACTTACATAGATATATAGATTACACTGAAAAAGTGGAAACTTATTAATGTAATCCACTTACTAGCTGTCCGAACGAGCGTTCACAGTCTATGGATCTTTCAGATTTGTCACTTCGTTCATCATCTATTGTCCTCACCACTCATCAAAGCGCAGTCGAATTCATATAAATGCACTGAGAACCAGAGAATAAACAATAATCAATTATAATTAAAATAAAGAAAATAGTACCGAATAAACAAATAACCTAATAAACTAAATAGATGATTTTAATAGGCAGGCGTGTACGTTACAAGGATGAAACCGAAGAGGATGCATATGTGAAATCTTGATGGAGAGACCACAGTAGACACGATCGAACCACATTGATGGTCTATTGTCGGGTGAATGTGAATTTAGTGCAATGTGTGGCGGTGTTTGAGTGTGTGAGGAAGAAGCGTGAAGCAAACTCTGGTAGTTCTAGAGCTGCGGTGAATGTACAGGTAAAGTGAGGTTAGTGTGTCTATGTATTTATTGGGCTGATAGTCATGGGCTGGAATAGTTAATGCATATGTTTTCAAATATTTCGGCCCAAGTTTCCATTTCCCCAATTTTCAATTTTTGTTTAGTTTCGGATATTTTAATTTCAACTATTAATACATATTTTCTGAAAATTTTAGTTTAGTTTTAAACATATAACTGTCAATTATTAATTCATATTTGAACAATTTCACAAAGAATTTAAATATGCAATATTCTTACTAAAAATGTAAACCCAACATGGAGTTGAAAATATTAAATAAGAACATCGAGCTTTATGTCATGGCCAACTGTATGCATCTGTCACAAGTTACTAAGTGTGAAGAGTTAAAGATATTGATTTGTAACACTGATGGTACATTGAGTACATTTACACTAAATATCGTATATCCAAATGGTTTTCAAAATGTTTAATGTCTTCTACTCTGTATGTTGTAATGTTTTTCGTTTTATAAGTGCATTTCGTATAATAATTTATATTTGTTTCATTTTATTATATACTCCATATCATATATGTGCGTCATTGTTATTTGGATAAATATATTCAACATAAAAACTCTTTTACCCCGTGCATCGCACGGGTGCAATACTAGTCACTTGAAAACACTAATTTTAGTTTTTTAAGCCAAATGTCGACATTTTGTGTTATTTAATTCGTGTAAGATAGTCTCGTGAATGTTTATATTTGTCGGATCTACCGGTTATCTAACAGAATTCAAATTGTCTTATTCCAATTCATTGTTAAAAATAGTGATCCAATGTTTGGATGTAAACATGTCTTAGTTCTATTTAATTTAAAACATTTTATAATCAAAAGGGTAAAATCAAAACGGTAGAAAGATAATACTCTCTATTTCATTGAATTTTTAGGGAAATTTTTGTTAGATTTAAAGAATATAAAACGTGGATTTTTGTATATGAATTTTAACCATATTTTAATTCGTTTTATGACCATTTTTAATCAAAAGGGTAAAATCAAATCTGAGGCAAATTTTAAAATAGAGGCTAGTGAAAATTTGGCCTCTTTTTCCCCGGAAGCTCCTCCCCTCAGCCACTCTGGCGTGAGCAATTTCCTCCACAAAGCAAAACTTGTTGTTTAAACTAGCATATTTTCACAAAATAATTTAATCAAAGCAATGAAAAACTGCCAGATATTTTCTTCATTATTTTACCCAAACCTGCGAATCATTCATTTTTCCAGTCTCCAAATTCAATCCAAGACGGTCTTCAATTCCTAGGCCAGGCGAACATTAATCTGTCATCTTCTTCATCGTCGTCATCATTATCGTTTTTTGATTGATCAATTTCCATCTATCTTGGTCTTGGTCAAAACACAGAATACATAACTTTAACCAGGCCAACAAATTAGCTATCATCTCCGATTTGTCCCAGCGGAAGGCGATCAGCCTACGTACGTGCATGCATGGCTTCATGCATATACACAACAATTGAGTTCATCATTAATCAGATATATTGATTCCTCGCGCATATACGTATGCGCGTTTTGAGGCGGATCATGTTGATAATTTCTCGTAAGCCCAAAGCTATGAATCCTTGAAAATCCAAGAAGAAGAGAGAAAATGGGTGAGAATTTAATTAGCACAAGGGTATCGTCTTCGTCTTCCATGAAACTGGTAGACGAAGCGGTTTCGAGCAAAAATCCACAAAGCAGCGTCACGTGCGTGTACCAAACTCACATCGGAGGGTACTGGAGGCACGTGACGGTGTTGTGGAGCAAAAACGTGATGAGTCATAGCGTCACGATAACGGTCGATAGCATCGAAAGCGACGATCACCCCACGTGCAAAATAGACCTCAAACCTTGGAACTTCTGGGCCAAAAAGGGTTACAAGACGTTCGAGGTGGACGGTAACCAGCTCGAGGCGTACTGGGATTTCCGATCCCCGAAATTCTCAGGGAGCGGGAGCCCAGAGCCAAGCGCGGACTACTACGTGGCATTGGTGGCGGAGGAAGAGGTGGTGATGTTGTTGGGTGACCACAAGAAAAAGGCATACAAGAGAAGCAAAGCCCGGCCGGCGTTGGTGGACGCCGTCCTTTTTTACAAGAAAGAGCACGTCTTCGGGAAGAAGAGCTTCTCGACGAGGGCGAGGTTAGACCATAAGATGAACAAAGAATGTGACATAGTGGTGGAGAGTTCAACCACGGGGTCCAAAGATCCTGAGATGTGGATAAGCATAGACGGGATTGTGTTGGTCCACGTCAAGAATTTGCAGTGGAAGTTCAGGGGGAATCAGACGGTGGTGGTTAATAAGCTGCCGGTCCAGGTTTTCTGGGACGTCCACGATTGGTTGTTTTCCAATAACTTGCCAGGCGGCGGCGGCTCCGACCACGGGTTGTTTATATTCAAGCCGGATGGGACGGGGACGGAGGCGGAGACGAGTGACGTGGATGAGAGCAGTGCCGGCGGCGATAGCAGCGAGTGCGGCAGTACTGAAAGTAGGTATTACTCAACGACGCAGAGCCACTCCGGCGGGTCAACGCCGTTTTGCCTTTTTTTGTATGCTTGGAAGCTTGAGTGATTGGATATGATCGAGTTATATTGTACAAATTCTAATGAGCTTGGATTCCTATATGAAATCATATTGTGTGAAAACTGGTTTTGATTAACTGATTCATACGAGTTTTAATTAAGTGAAATTTTATCTCACACAGTTACTAGTCAGTTACACGGTCTTTTTCCTTTTAAAAGTGAGATTAAATACTCCGTATTATATTGGCTATTTTTGGAAGAATTATATTGGCTTTCTATATTTACAAAAAGAAAGCCTTACAAAGTAGAAAAAGGAAACTATAGTGAAAGTAGACAACCAAGCCACTCTCTTGAGCATATTAACATGTTTATAAGAAACATGTTAATGACTTTGAATGGACCATATATATACTCTAATTAAATAACAATGGAATTCATTGATTTGGGAATTATTTGGTAACATTGAACTTTACGAATTCCTTATCAAAGTGACAGGATTGGTTGAATCTGTTCAATTATGAAAAAAATATGAAATAATGACATAGATATTAACCATGAGGTTTCAAAGGACACAAATATAACCATTTTAGATTTTTACAAAAAAGTGACCAGCTTTCTTTTCTCCCGTTCTTTTAACGCTACCCTCTCTAACGCGACCGACTCCTTTCTCTCTTCTTCGCTCGTTCCTGCAGCTTCGCACCTTCATCGTCTCTAATGCAGCTTCTTCGCGTCCATTCTCGAATATGCAAGCTTCGCATCCATTCTCGCATCTGTGAGCTTCATCATTGTCGCCTTCATCGCTGTAACCAGGAGCCAATTCACCAAGACTTAGGGTTCAAGGGACGACTTTGTGCTGCGGAGGCGCAATTGGGGTGCCATTGTACTGCAAAGGCTCAGTTGGGAGCGGCGTTGTGCTGAAAAAACGCAATTGGGGGTGACGTTGGGCTGAGGAGTGCTGTCAAGGGATGGGAGAGTGGGTGAGTGCAGGGGCCTGGGGCAAGGGATTGAGGGTAGGGTCTAAGGGTAGTGGCTGGGTGCGGCAGTGTAACACCCCGGCCTCGTAGGCCTCGAGGTAGTTACTTCTAACCTCTAGTACTGTCCTCACAAACCGTCACTAGCCTTTTCCGCGCACTTTGTCCTCACTCGTGCGCGCCCTGAAAAACTTCTCAGGGGGTCACCCATCCCAAGACTACTCTCGTGCAAGCACGCTTAACTTTGGAGTTCTTGGTCAATGAGCTCCCTTAAAAGGAGATGCACCTTGTTGGTATGAGTAGTACTATTAGTCCATTTAAATTAAATCTCAAGTGTTACAATCACCCCCACTTAGGAACGCAACGTCCTCGTCCCCTGCCAAGTGCCCGCCCGATATCCAACGGATCAGCACACTGTCGCAGGGTCTCTCTGATACCATTTGTAACACCCCGACCCCGTAGGCCCCGAGGTAGTTACTTCTAACCTCTAGTACTATCCTCACAAACCGCCACTAGCCTTTTACACGCACGCACTTTGTCATCACTCGTGCGCGCCCTGAGAAACTTCCCATGGGGTCACCCCTCCCAAGACTACTCTCGTGCAAACACGCTTAACTTTGAAGTTCTTGGCTAATGAGCCCCTTTAAAAGGAGATGCACCTTGTTGGTATGAGTAGTACTATTAATCCGTTTAAATTAAATCTCAAGTGTTACAGGCAGCTTGGAGGTGGGTTGTGGTGGTGGGATGCCACAATTGCAGGGGCTAGAGTGGGTTGTGGTGGTGGGATGAGGCTGTTGCAGGAGGTGCGCTTGGGGCAGGGAAGGACTAGGCATGGTTTTGGGGAAGCTGTGGTGGGGGCTGGAGGTTGGGGCTAAGGGTGGCTGGTGGTGGTGGTGAATGGCGGTGACGATCCTCGGCGGTCGGGTCAATGCAACGGTGGCAGGGACATGGGGATTGGTTGGCAGTGGTGTTGGTCACTGGGCGGTGGCAGTGGCCGGGGAGTTCACTGGGGGCTGGGGAGTCGAGCCGGGGGGGGGGGGGGGGGTGGTGGTGGTGGTTGGCGGCGGCGGTCCAAGGTGATGGTCGCCAGCGGCGATAAGGCAGGGTAGGCTGATGATGTGGCTCTGAGGGGCCGAGGAAGAATGAGGCAAAGTGACCGGAGTCGGCGTGTCACCGGTGGCGGTAGATGTCATTTTTACCGGAAAAAGTAGCCAATGACGGCATAGTGACATGGTTAACGACACAGTGACACGTTTGACGGCGGAAGTGACATATAAAAGTGGCATGAAAACGGAGTGACATTTAAAAGTCACATGAAAACAGGCAGTGACATTCAAAAGTGACTTAGAATCAATGACATGAAAATTTAACAGTGACATAAAAATCCGACAGACGGTGTTTTTCTGAATATATGGCCTTCTTGTTCATATTTTTGTCCTTTTATAAAAGTGGTGAGTGGTCACATTTTTGGAATTTGACTCTAAATTAGTACGTAATATTCAAGTAAAAAACCCATAAATTAGGGGACACTAATAATACAACCTTTTAGCGATCTTCTTATAATAGTCCCACCTTTTGATTGTTAAGGAATAATCCAATTTTTGCACTTCATCTTCATTCAATGGTCCTTGACCGGTTGATGACCTGCTATTCCAAATTATTTTCTTATGTTTGTAATATATTATACCATAAATCTCACTTTATGATCACATAATGTTTTGCAAAGATAAGAAAATAACTTGGAATAGCAGGTCATAAACTGGTCAGAGACCATTGAATGAAGATGGGGTGCAAAGGTTGAATTATTCATCAATAATCAAAAGGTGAGACTGTTGTAAAAAGATCGCTAAAAGGTTAGATTATTGATTTCTTCCCCATAAATTATTCATAAACATATTTGTATTTACAAAACACTACGTAGAAGTATTTTATCGTTGAAACTTCAAAGGGAGCCTTCATTTAAATAAAGAATTGCTGATTTATTATTGGACAATCGAACCAAAGCTCACCAGCAATCTTGACAACATAATAGGGAAGCGCGAATGAGAGCCATTTGGCTTCCTCTTTGAATGCAAATCTTTAACAGATTTTTCGCGAAGAGATTGGGGGAAATATAATAATGGCAGCATATGTGGCCCGCAGAGCTCAAGCTATCAGACTTGTGCGGCAACTGTTTCTGATGAGAGAGAGAGACAATGAAGGGGAATCCAGAGGAAGTGAGAGGATGACTCTCTCACTCTCCTTTTATTCCCCCTCTTTCTCTTCACTTTCCTATTATTTGTCTTTCCATGGATTCTCCACGGCTTTCTTCCATTGTTCCTGCTCTCCCCTTGTTTACGTGATTTCTCTCCAGAGATTCCCTATCAAGAAACCTCAAGAACAAAATAAAACAGTGCCTGCTATCATTTTCACCTTCTAGTCAAGGCATTTCAGGTTCTTGTGTCGAATTTGGCCATAAAGATTTGGTTTTTGTATATAGAGAATAAAACAAATTCTGGGTATCTGTGAACTGGGGATTGTGATGTTGTTTCGCTCTGTTGAGGCGTGGCATTCTTGAAAAAAATAACCATGGGAATGGGGATAGTTGTGGAAGAATTGAGAAAAGGGAAGATGAAATGTGGTGATGGGAAAGAGTATGAGAAAAGGATGGAAGATCATCATCCTATATTTCCCAGGCTGCATATAAGTAATGCAGAGAGGAGAGGGCCAAAAGCACCTCCAAGGAACAAAATGGCTGCTCTTAGTGAAAAACAACACCCTGCAATTTCCTTGCCACCTATCCCAATGCTCCCTCTCCCTCTTCCTAATTCCTCTGCTTTGAGTCATGTGAGTCCAACCTTTATAATGCTTTCTTTCTCGATTGTGTTTGTTTCAAATTATTCAATCTGATCGTATTTCTCATTTATGGATGGAATTTTGTGTTTTTAGGTGTAGTTTAGTAGACATGCATACTGTACACCCATTTTGTAACACTACATTGCGTTGCATTAGGTCTTACCAATCCACAACTTGGCCAATGTTAGAAACTTGATGAATATTTATGACTTGTTTGGGTTAATCTTGCTCATTTCTTTCTGTATGGGTTGTGATTGTATTGTATGATCTTGCACAACATTGCTTTTATTCGTTAGTACGTAGTATCACATTGCCATCACCTGGGAGTCTCAAAACCAGCTTAGTTTGGTAGGTATATTATTTGTTTCATAGTGTAGTTTAGACTTGTATGTTTTCATTTGGAGCATGGAAAAATATCAGATAAAATAAGTGGAGGATGTGGGGGTAAGATATACTCAAACTCATTGTTTTTGTTTTAGATAATTCTTCAAACTCATTTTTTAAAGAGCAAGAAATTTAATTTTTTCAAAAGGCAATTGTATTTCATTTTCTTTGCAATTTCAGTGCTAACACTTAATAGTGATTATATATATTATATTGAATATAATAGTAACTTTAGTTATCATGATTAGGTTGAACTTTATATAGTGGTGACTGGTGACTATGATAATATACGTTTAGAAACTTGAGTCACTTTTTTTGCCCATAAGTTCTATTATAGTACAGAGTAATATTTATGGAAAATCATGTAAAACTAAACATAAGAAAGTCATTCATTTAACTTGGGGTATTTTAAGCGATCGAGTGGCCTTGCTGAGATCAGCCCTTTGTCGCTTTTTAAGAAGAAAAAAGTGATTTTTCTAAGCATTTTCTTTCATTCCCTGCCATTTTGCAGGATCTATACATAGCCTCTTGACACTGTGGAATAGTTGAAGCTGGAAAACAGTTGTTCATATCAGTCAAAATCTCATTCATAGTTTGCATATGAACTTGTGTAGTTCTGATTTAACATGCGATTTTGAGGAATGCATTCTGAATCATAGCCAATTAAACGCGTAAAGATATTAGTATTGATACACTTTTACTATATTTATATCTTTATACTAGTATGTTATTATATACGGACTATATGTTTATACTATTTATATATATTTTATATATACGGACTATGTTACAATGCTTTTTTTGCATGAATTTATAGTGTGTAAACTCACTTTAGGTAAGGGGTATTTGTGTGATGACTAAATGTACTCATTTTTTAAAAAGGAGAAGTGTTAACATCCATTTCATCAAAGTAAGTATTTCTAAAGCTACTTATTCTGCTTATTAGCAGAATAAGCCCAAGTGTACTACCAATCACTAGAGCTTCAAAAATTATTTTATTTGCATCTTATCTGGGGATGCTACTAGATTCCTTAAATTGGCTTTTCTTACTTGTGTTGATTGCAGGCTGGTTCTCCCTTTTACTATCCACCTCCCTCATCCCATTCTTGCTCTAGTGCCATTCATTTTACAATGGGTGAACCAAGTTTTACAACACCAAGAAATCTAGATTTAGCACCACTAAAATATGAATGTTTAAGTGATAATAAAGGGGATTTTCCAAGCACCTCTTGTCATAGCTTTTCTGCTATGAAGCTCGAAAATGGTGGCGGTTTCAATGCTCAAAAATTCCCTCACACGGGGAAACACCCAGAAAGTGGAAATATTCAGAAAATATTGGAAAAAGAAAAAGATACAGTTTCAAGCTCCAGTTTTTATCAAAAAAATCATAATAGTTCTGAAAAGGTAATACAAAAAATGAACCACTTAGGAAAAGAGAGATGCAATCTGGAAGATGAATATGATGAGGAGTATGATGAATATGCGAAGAAGGTTAAAACTGATAAGAAGAGAAGTGCTTCCATGATGGAAGATCATGATAAAGAGATTTCTCATGCAGACAGAAATGAGGAAATCCCTTGCGCCTCGGCTATAAATTTGTCCCCTGATGATGTTGTAAAAATTCTAGGACATAAGCTATTCTGGAAAGCTAGGAGGACCATTATGCAGTAAGTATCCTTAAACTAGTTTTGCCTCAAGTTCTTTTATGATGAATCTCTGTTAACCCTGTCATTCTATTTGCAGTCAGCAAAGGACCTTCTCACTACAAATATTTGAGCTGCATAGGTTAATAAAGGTACTTCCTAAGTATCAATAGTTACATACTTACATTGACATACTTGGTGTCTTTAGTAAAAATCATTCCATCGGTCCCAAATGAAAGGGTCATGTTTGAGTAGAGTACAATTGTTTATGAATTTAACTCAAACGAGGTATAAGCTTTCACAAGTTATGAGTGGTCACTTGTACAGTCGTACCGCTCCCCAGAACTTATTCCGAATATTATTTGGAGTAATTGCCTAAAATCGCTCATCATTTGGCTTTGCATGAATTTCACTTAATATTTGAAGTTGATTGTTAGAACTCAGCTCTTATTTTGTGACAAAAAATGATCCTTCATGAAAGTGCTTTTTTCAACGGATGAGTTATTAGCTACTCCCGCCGTCCCGCTAAGATAGTCCCATTTTACCTTTTCGGTCCGTCTCACTAAGATTGTCTCATACCAAATTTGGTAAAATTCGTGTGCCTCTAAATCATTCTTACTTTATTCTTACTTTAACAATTCAATATCAACCACATAAACCACTTTTATTGATTTGCGTGTCACTCCTTGTCCCATTGTTAGTGGGACGGAGGAGTGGTTTATACCCCTTACCTCTAGGTGGGGAGCCTTTGCGGCACTATGGTAATGTTGTTCTTGTATGAGTTACTCCGTATTAGTTTATACATAGTATTTCAGTTAGATACGATTCAGGATATTTTTGCATGTTATTTAAGCACAATCATTAATCAAATACAATAGCATCTGCTTTATGCAATCTGTACATTAAATATCCTCTCTAATACTTGTGATCAGGTTCAGAAAATGGTTTCACGTTCTCCAGATATCTTATTCGAGGATGATTTATTTACCAGAAAATCTCATATAAAATCGCCGTTTTTCACAAAGAAACTACCACCCAACAATGTTAATGAACCGCCAACCCCAGTTGTTGAAAGGAGTTCATATTCTTCTCAAAAACCAAAAGGCATTTTGGGTATTGGATTAGAGAGCTCGAGAGAGAAGATGCCAGTTCATCAAGAACCATACTTAGGGACGCCAACATTGACATCTCCGGATCATGAGGCCAAATCAGGACCTTGGTGCTTCCAACCACCACATGGAAACCAATGGCTAGTTCCCGTAAGGTCTCCTTCTGAGGGACTGGTCTACAAACCGTATTCAGGTCCTTGTCCCCCACCTGGAGGGATCCTTGCCCCTCTTTACAGTGGTTGTAGGCCATTGAACCTGTCATATGGAATTGGGCTTTTCTCTAGCCCGCCTGTTGGACAGGCCTACTTTCAACCATATGCCTTGCCTGTGATTAGCCCGTCCGTGCGTGACACTAATTTGGGCAGGCCTTGTGAAAAGAAGTTAGTATGTAACAACATGTCAAATGGGGCTCAAAGCGGGATCTTATCAAATGGGGCACCGAGTTTGCAGACAGATAGAGGGAGTGATCTGCAAGGAAGTACTGCAAGTAGTCCTTCTGAGAGGGTGTTGCCGGACGCGCTCTCTCTTTTTCCCACCAAACCAACAGGTGAAGATTCAGGCCAACCTGTCCTGAATCAGAACTGTGGGCAACAAGTTCGCGTGATCAAAGTTGTGCCTCACAACCCCAACACAGCATCAGAATCCGCTGCTCGCATTTTCAAGTCCATACAAGAAGAAAGGAAACAGCATTGACTGTTTATACATTCATATATGTGTGATATTTTTCATCTATCTTTTTATTATGTATACACATAGCCACATAGGTACTCATAAATACACTAAATGTAGACTAGTTTTTCCTGGCCAGTGCAGCAGCAAATGGTTTTAACTGTTGTACTTCGTATAATTGTATTCATATCTCTTCAATGCTCTTTTGATCTCTTCTCCCAATTGATAAGATTCTGCCAAAGTAATTGTTTCTATTCTATTGAACTGTGTTGTGAACGGCAATTTATATCCTGGGATCGGCGCACCATGAGGATGGTGCGCCCGATCCCAAAACGACGCAGCATCCATTATTTTTTATTTCTTTTATTGTTAAAAATTGTAATAACTTTTTTATTTGATATCCGATTTTTTATAAATTTTATATCAATTTTTATTTTTATTTTTCATGATCTATCAAATGAGATCAATATTGCTTATGTAATTTTAACAAATTATTTTGAAGTTACATTTGATAATATATCATGAAGTTACATCTTCTTCTGCGCGAGTTACATCTTATTGTACGCGAGTTACATCTTAATATATGCGAGTTACATCTTAATGTATGTGAGTTATACCTTGAAATAACCCCTGCTACATCTTTCATTTTTATCATTTGAAAAATAGTGTATGAATATGAAATACAATATACTTATTTTATGTGGATTAATAAAAGTTTGTATTAAATTGGCAAAGAAAAAAATTAATTCAGTCATAATTGAATTAGTTCAAGATAAAGATAAGTAAAAAATCACAAATAATTAGATATAACTCACACATAATTACATGTAACTCACGTATAAAAGTATGTAACTCGTGTATAACAAGATGTAACTCACACATAACAAGATGTAACTCACACATAATTACATGTAACTCGCGCATAAAAGTAGGTAACTCGTGTATAGCAAGATGTAACTCACACATAACAAGATGTAACTCACACATAATAACTTGCAACTGGAGTATAAGATGATGTAACTTCGTATGTTATCAAATGTAACTCCAAGCTAGAAGCAAAATAAACAAACTCAATATCTTAAAAACCTCTAAAAACATATAAAAGTGAAAAAAATATTATAGAAAAAGTGTATGCATATAAAAATATATTACAAAAAATGTATGAAAAATAAAAAAATTTGATATAAATTTTATAAAAATCGGATCAAAAATAAAAAAAGTATTAACAATTTTAATAAAAGGAGAAATAAAAAATAACAAAAGGTGCATGGTGCTCACCATGCACCGGTTCCACGGTATATGTCACGCCCCGGACCTAGCCGGACACGTCAACAACCCGCCGCACAGTACGAATAGTCAACCGCAGTCCAACTCATCCATACTATACAATGCGTCATGAATATCATTCACACATAGTACATCCATAAACAAACATAATGTAAATCATTCATTTAAAGCAGCGGAAACAACATTACAAGTGTACAAGCCACACTTGGCAAACATGGGTGTACAAACCCTCGAAATGTATATTCAGAAAATAATATCCATGAGCATTATTCATATTGTTTTCAAAACAAGAACGGAAGAAGCACGAACCAAGTCTTCTCCTCAGAAACTTCCCGAAACAGCAGCTGCTAGTAGCAACCTTCAAGTACTACCTGAAACTGTGAGGTGGCCTCCCCCGTGAAGGGGAGGTCAGTACTTGGAAGCATTTGACAAGTACAATGACAACTATACTAAGTATAATCGAAGTTTAAATCTCTGAGGCCCTCAATCTAGAGCATTATTACATTATAGTTAATCCGTTCATTTAGTATCAATTCATCATTATTTACTACGGTCTAGAGCCCAGCTCATAATCACCGTTATCTACTACGGTCTAGAGCCCCGCTCATAATCACCGTCATCTACCACGGTCTAGAGCCCAACTCATAATCACCGTCATCTACTACGATCTAGAGCCCAGCTCATAATCACCGTTATCTACATCGGTCCCGAGCCCGGCTCGTAATCACCGATTCTTTATAATTCTCATTCTTAGGATCTAATACATCCATTTCTCAACTAACATTTCCAACTAATATTTCAATGCTAGTTATTTATTTATTTCAATATAAGTCTTCCTTCATGCATGATTGGCCTTAATATCAAGTATCACTTTCATACCTTCATGGCTTCTCCTCATGGTATCAAAGTATACTATCTCAAATGAAATTCATGGTTGGTACAACCATCATACACACATATTCATAACATCTCACTACAAGAAAATGCACCATTTACCGACGGAAAGTTACCGACGGACGGTAAACCATTGGTAATTGATACGCTACCGACGGAAATACCGACGGATTAAATAAAATCAAGGCGGTGTTTTTTGGGATGGTAAATCGTTGTAATTTACCTACCGTTGTAAACAGTGTAGGAAATTACCTAGGAATTTACCGACGGATACTTAATTTTATAGAAAATTGTGGAGGGAAATTGTAGCGCGAAAATAATTTATCCGCTTACCTACGGAAAATAATGTCGTCGGTAATTGCCTACGAAAATTGTCTACGGTCATAACCTTAGTCGTATTGGACAGCGAATAAGTAAGATATATTAGTAGTTACCGACGGAAAAATCAATCGTAGGAAATACCTTACTTATTACTGCACTTTGTAATGGAGCGCGAAATGAAAATAATGGGGGGAAATGAGTTGGACTTGTGCTTTCCTTATTACTTTTCTCAATAGGGTTTTCATTTCTCTTCTCTTTTCAGACTACGATGAAACAAAACCCTCCCTCTTAGGTTTCTCCTCCGCCTCCCTCCCTATTTTACTCACAACCGACTCAATCCATAAACAATCTCTCAATTTCTATTTCGCAGCCCACCGCCCACCGCCCACCGCTCGCCGCTCGCTGCTCCTTATTGATTCATCAATCTACACCACAACTCCCAAGTTTGGGTTCACAAATTCTCTCTAAGGTATGTCTTTCAATGCCAGAACAATTAAAACAACACAATGCTTTGTATATGTAAAACTGCACTTTTGTTCCTGTGGTCTGACTTTTACACAGATGTTGATTTGGAAATCACTGATGATGAAAGTCCAAAGATAAATGAGGAAAACCAATATGATGAACCAGAATATGAAACAACCGAAGATCTAGGAGATGATGAACTTGATGAAGATGATGATGATAGCAATTAGCATATATTATTGCATTTTATAGATGTGTTTTCTTTCAAACAGTGTAATTTGCATTATGATGACATGTTTGTTGCTTGATTATGAATTGCATTTTACATTTTTGGTTTTGTAAATTTGTAATTCTAGGTAATTTATATTAATTAATTACTTATATTATGTAATTCTAATTTTTTATTTGATGTAGGTATGTCTCCAACAAATAGAACTATTAAGAGTTCACTCTCAAAAGCTAGGATGATAACACTGGAGCAGCCCAATGAAGTAACTGCTAGTGAAGTTAGCTCTTCAGATGATGAAGTGGAAGACCAACATAATGAGTTTGATGATGAAGAAATGGAGGATCAACATGATGAACGTACTGATGAGCGTACTAATGAGCAGAGTGAAGAACTGATTGATGATGAAATGGAGGAACGACCTACATTGCTTATACAGGAGCCATTTGAACATCCTCCTTTGCAACCTGGTGGCAAGCCAAAGAATTTTGTCAAAGTTGTGGGGAAAAAGTAGGTAATCTTTGTGCATTAATCTATGACTAAGAATATATAGAAGTGTACAATATTCTTAATATTATATTTTTTACTTCTAGATTAATTCCATCGAATCCAATCTCTCGTAACCTGCGCACAAGTCTGAAAACGCGTTTAGATCCTTAAGGTCATACCTGGAAAACGGTGACAAAAAGGACCAAAGTATTTTATTGGAAAGAGTTTGAGGTTATATCCTTATATAATCTTTTTCAACAATTCATTTTAATTTCATTTCTTATTATTTTTTATTTGATTTTTATTTGTCAAATACAGAAGCAGTTCTACTGGACTCTAGCTGTCAATGACATGGTACATAAGCTTTGGTTCCAAAGTAGTGCTAGAAGATATAGTGACTTTTTAGGAGAGGCAAAGAGTGAAGAAGAAAAAAAAAGGAAAAACATATGTTTATATAAAATCTAATGTGTGGGTTAAGTGGAAGCAGGCTTAGAATGCACCAAATGCTAAGAAGAAATCTCAGATCAACAAGAAAAATCGTAAAGGGTCTTCCGGGGTTGGTATTTGTACTCACACAGGAGGTTCTCTTTCACATCATGAAATTGCAGAAAAATTAGTAAGATTCTATAAATTCTAATGTAGATCAATTATTCTTACTTATTGCACTTCAACTTCATTCCTTGACCATTATTATTAGCCTTGATTTACAGCTCAAATTCATTCTCAAATTCATTCCCTGCCCATTATTTGTACTTCTTTAACTAGAAGACTTTCATGCTTTATATTTATTTATTCCAGGTTACATTTGCAAGTAAAGGAGATTGAAACTGTAAATCTCAAAGGGGACTTTTCAGCTTGTCCATTGCTGTAAATTTAAGGATCATGTGCATTAATTTCATTGCTCATTTAAATATTCTTGTTGTCTTGTCATGTAAACCAATGTTACTTTGTGTATGTGTTGAGTACTTTTCTAAGTAAAAAATATGAATTGCATATTTGTTATATGCTAGAGATTGGTGTGCAAATAGGGGAAACTTTGTCAGATTTCAGATTTAATTTATACACGAATATTGGATTTTATATGTCATACGCATAATTTTTCTTGTGCAGGAGAAAGAATTAAACAGGAAGCCCAATGTCCTTGATCTATTTTTATATACTCATACAAAGAAACATGATCGAGTCACCTTCATTGATGAGCGCTCCCGTAAAGTTTATGTAAGTTATACAACAAAATTTTAAACTTAGTTGAATGTTTTAGTTTTATATCTTATTGTTTGTGTCCATACACTTCTTAGGAAGCATTTCAAGCAAAAGCAGAAGCCTTAAAGCGGGAAACCCAAATTGAAGAACTTACTGAAGAGCAGATCAATAAAATCTACTATGAGGTTGTTGGTGGTCACATATGAGATAGAGGATATGGAACAGGATCTGGGGCATCTATGTTTTATGGTAATGATGATGGCGGGGCAGCATCCACAGCAACCTCATTAGGTTCGTCATCTGCTGAAATTCATTCTCAAGTTCAGAAACTGTTTGAGCAAGAAGTTAAACAATTA